CCCCAAAACCCCAAAACCCCAAAACCCCAAAACCCCAAAACCCCAAAACCCCTCAGAAATCAATCTAATTGACTATTACATATTTATCAGAATTGTCCTAATCTGTTTAGACTCCGACAAATTTTGTCTTCTTCTTTTTACGAGCTTTCTCACCTAGAGAGTTAGCGAGCATACTTACAGTTCAAGCGCATCTTCTTGTCATGTCTTTGCTGGACTTCAAGCTTGCCCTTCCATTCTTGGGAGTACTTCAGGTTATCATATTGTAGCCAGAGTAAGTCTTCTCTATATCTACAGTCGGAAGGAAGGGAAGTCGGCATGGGGAAGCATCTGTATGGGGTATAAGAGTCTATCTCCCAAAATTTCTCATTATCAATGAGAAGTTCTTCAAGGACATTACCCCATACATCGCATATCTCTTCTTCGATATCAGTTACGTCTTTGAGAGAGGCGATCTTCTTCTTCTGGAGCTCTTTACTCTCACTTGTATAAATCAGACCTTCAAAGCTAGTTGGTTCTGTAGTGACATCGAATTCTGGGCTCTCAGGATTGAACACAACTATTCCTCGAGTATCGTGATCGTGATCAATAAGAATTCCTGTTCCTTCGATGTTGACTGTTCTTTCTCCCCACATGAGTCCGCTTACTCGTGTGGTTGGGTAATGGAACTCGATGAGATGCCCATCAGGGAATTCTACATAATTTGCACCTTCAAAGAAAATATTGAGAACGTTTCCCTTGTTTTTGATGCTTCCCTTGAATTCAACTGCTCCATACATCTTAAAGGCGTACTCAGCAGGGCCTTCAATAAGATAGCTCGAGATTGGTGGATGATGGCTGATGTGCTCCATGTAGATCCTAGTGCCATCTTTGAAGTATCCTTCCAAAGTTTCACCAAGGATTGGGTTAAAAGGCTTCCTTAGATCAGCTGACATGTACATCCCACTAACAATAAAAGCAAGGATGTATTTCATTCTGAGGAGCTCATCATTTGTCTTTCATGCCTTTTTGAAGAAGGTTGGCACAAAACTGCAAGCATCAAGGATTCTTTCAAGAAGAGATTTTGGTTGGAAAATTCGTACAGGAAGCGAAATCGATACTACACCTTTGCCTGTTAGGACATTTTTGGCAAGTTCTTTAAGAACATAGGGGATGACTCCTTTATTTGACTCTTTAATCTTCTGATCGTGGCATTCTAAGTATCCTTTATCGTTCAATTTGAAAGCTTGGAGGACTTCATCTTTGTCTGTTGGTTTTGGCTTATTGATCTCTTCAAATTCAAAGTAGAGTGGAGGAGGAGACTTGTTACTATAAGTATCGTTCTCTAAGAAAGAGTATTCTGCTGTTCCATATTCCTCAGAATATACGAACTCTGGAAGATCATCCTCTAATGGCTCTTGACCCTCTCTATCAATAGGGAGTTTACGGCCAAATAGGATGAAGGTATCGCCATCGATTTGGAAATTCTTTGGAGATGAGGGGATGATGTCACCATGTGCTCTTCCTTTAGCAGCCATTCCTACTCGTTTGACTTGAACTGTACCACCAGATCTTCCTTGGTTCCAAAGCCAATTTATTTTTCTATTTCTGTTTTTATGAAGATCGCTGATCTTCTTGCTTTCAATGGAGCTGGGGACAAGGCTTGCTGAGACATCATTGCTACCTTCATCCTCACTTTCTGGGAATTATGAATAAATCTTACCTGAGCTAGACTCATTTTGTTGTGTGGGAAGCTTAAATGATATGAATTTCGATTTTAGCAGGTTTCCTCCAAGGAAATTTACCTCATATCCTATAGAACAGGCTAGCATTGGTCGTCACAAATAAGAGAAAAGGAGAAATATGTTCATTAGCTTTGTCACATAACTCTAGGCTTGGGTCAGAGCTTACCTCTTTCATCTTCATTGTATTGTAAATCTTCATTATGGCCGCAATAATCTCCGTTGTTATGGTCAAGCTTGAGCGAATTTCTTGAAATCACTAGAGAAAATTAGAATTTGCTATTTTTAGCACCATTAGGGAGTTCTGAAAAATTAGTGGCCTCAGACTGCCTACTACTTTAACAACTTCTTTGAATAACAAGGTGTTCAAGTTTTAGCCGCTGACAAGAAACAACTAATTTTTCGTCATTTAATGTTGCAACGTAAGCACACTAGCACAATTTTTATCTTCTTTCACTATCCCCAATATTCTAACGAAAAGCAGGAGATCTATCGAGTTGAAAAATATAGCCCTGATTAACTTGTGATAGAACCCTCTCCGATGCAGATTTTCAGCCAATATTTATCAGAAAAAATGTGGACATTCAAAGCGTTCAGATTTACTCTTGACTTCAGTTAAAGCTAGACCAATAATTTTGTGGTCAATTTTAAGTTATGTAATTATTAAAATGCTTAAAGTCTCAGACAATCGACTGATAAGAATGATCGATAGGTTTACAAACCTTCTTTGAAAATTTTCGAATTATTTTTAAGCTCAATCAAGTTGTTAGTATTGAAACAAGCAGTCATTTAACCTGCCTTTGGAAAATTCAAGCCACATCCAAACCTCTTGGAGGTACTTCCTAAGTCTGGTTGGGGAAAGAGTTGACTTCAAAGTTCTGGTTTGCTTACATTCTCCTGACGCATCCATTCTCGACATTTGTTCTAAAATTATATATTAATTTGATTTTAAGTTTAAATACCTTTACTTTGTTCAATAAAGAAGGAAACCAGGGGTTTTGGGGTTTTGGGGTTTTGGGGTTTTGGGG